TTCAGGTTATTTTATTTTTATAAGATTTTCTTTTACAAATTATCTGTTAAGGTAATTTAATTTATTGCCCTTCTTATCTTCAAAACTCCAATCGTATTTTCTTTACACACAGTTTTGTTTTTCATTCTGAGCAGAAGAAACTGGAGCCAGCTGATGTCAGCAAAACGCGTCGTTTATAGCTTCAACACTTTATCACATCGTCTTCAAAATTATGTTTTAGAACGACAAAATCGGATAAAAAAATGTACATTTTTAACTTTAATATAGACAAACTATATTATACCTCTAGTATATATATATATATATATATATATATATATATATATATATATATATATATTAATGTAGGATTGGTGTATACGGAATAAATTCCAATCACCAAAAATTACTATTCTTAAAATGTGCTCAATACAGAGTAGAGCGAATATAAGTATTTATTTAAAATTATAACATAAATATGTTATAAAATCACTACAAAATAGCCATTCTGTTTCAACAGCTTTGGTATCTTATCAAGTGATGATGTTGAATGTAGATTGTATAATATATATATATATATATATATATATATATATATATATATATATATATGTATATGTATTATGCATATACTGCTTCTGAATACTTCAATATTATCACATTCTTAACGGATTCTAGAATAATAAAAAATTCAAATTCTTCGAAATTTGTTTGGAGTCTATGCGCAAAGTTTCTCATGTGAAGTATAGTGAACATATATGGTAATAATAAAAGAGATTTATCTAACCCTTTTGACCGTGATCAGCCGTGTTCGGTGAAACTTTGAAGACAGTCGAATAATAAGACGATTGGCGTATTTTTTTTAAATTTATTCACGATATATGCCCCCTTTCGTACTGGAGCACTTTGGAAAAAAAGGGAATTTGTCGGCTACTGTTGATTAAATGCTCTTCGCTATTAATGTGGTAGTCGGTAATACGGTAATCTATTGAGCACTCTACGCCCGACTTAGCGTATTGAGCACTCTACGCTTTAGTCTCTATACTCGCTTGGTTTTTTTTCTTTGGACTAAGGACTTAAGACACTTGACGATTTGTTTAGCCTCGTTCTGATGTTTTTAGTTCTTTCTTTTTTACTTCCAATTTTTTTCTCCGGTACCGATTTGTCCTCAGGTGTCTACAAGTTGAGTCATCCAAGTTTTTCAAGCGAGTAATACTGCTAATATATATATATATATATATATATATATATATATATATATATATATATATATATATACACGCCAGAGTAAAGAAACAGTAAAATATTTATTAACATTGTACGCATTAAAAGTGCTCAACATCAAGTTGGAAGCCCAGACTTACAGAGCTATTTATTAATGTTTAAGAAATGAATACTGACCAGAACACTACT